CCTGCTCCGCCACTCCTCAGTGACCCTCGAAGGGATGAGAACTTCTCTGTCCACCGTCTCTTTCTGCAGGGCACTGGAGTCCTCCAGCCTCTGAGGTGGGTCTAGCATCTTCGTGACGCTACCTTGTAAAAATCATTGGCCTTTTAGGTCACATACGATTGCTTCCAAGTCCCTGTGCCCCCCTGCAGCGCTGACAAATAGAGGGAGAGGCAGTAGCAAAGTGAATCAAACTGCAGCTCTGGTGGGCCTTCAAGAAATAACCAGGATACTCTAAAGGAAGACTTAACACAAGTAGTATTTCAGAGAGGTTGTCCTAAGCTTCAATCTTCTCCGGAAGCTCCAGAACAATCTGGATTAGGCTCTTTCAGTTCTGCAGAAACGTAGTTGTCTATTTTGGAGGTTCTGGAAGGGAATAAAAGAGCAACCAAACCCAAGTCAAGCTTAGTGCTACCATGCGAAACACCTCTCTGTTGCCACAAAGTCTTGTCCAATAACTCTAAACACCCTGTAGTAATACCAGGACGATTCCTACGCTGTTTCTCCCAGCCCAAGTGCTGAAGCATCAGCTTCATAGATCCTTCTTGTAGCGTGCCGTTAAACTTGTAAATGCTGCCCTGGGGATTGAAGCCAAGCTGGCTGAGATTTTTCATTTTCAGCTATTCTGGGAGGGCAAGAAGTGTCTTTAATCATCCTGAGGCTCAGCCCAGAGCTAAAGCAATGGCATCTCATTTCTTGCTCTCCCAGAGTGGATCCTTCTGCTAGAGGTGCCACTGAAGGAAACGTGGGAGCTATCGTTTGTGCTACAGATATAAAATTAGCTGATGAAATATTTTGGTGCACCTGTAAAATAGCAGAGGGTTACACGCCATTGGAGCCCTTTCCAAGCTCAGACCTCGTCGGATGTGCCTCTCCCTAATCCTGGAGGAGACGTAACCCCGTTTCCCTCTCCTTCAGGCTGCAGAACTGCAACCTGACGAGCGCCTGCTGCGAGACGCTGCGCTCCGTCCTCAGCGCGCAGCCCTCCCTCACCGAGCTGCACGTGGGCGACAACAAACTGGGAACCGCTGGCGTGAAGGTGCTGTGCCAAGGGATCATGAACCCCAACTGCAAGCTCCAGAAGCTGCAGTAAGTAGGTGCCGGGTTGTTTTTTGTTTTGGGGGAGTCGTCAGACATTGTCGTGCTCGTCTTTCCTTGAGACGAGCGGGGGTTTTGTGGCCAGATGTGAATTTTTTACCTCGTTTATCTGAACTTGCAGCATGCTGGTAGGTCTCATGGGTTTGTAAGAACTGCGTGTGTTCCTGTGGGTTTTGTTTAGCCCTCCTGGCAGCTTTACACCAGTGATGTCTTGTGGGACATGGTGAAGGTGCTTTGTTCTTTCCTCTGGGTTTCTTTCCTTCTCGCAGGCTGGAGTATTGCGAGCTCACAGCCGACATCGTGGAAGCTCTCAACGCCGCTCTGCAAAGCAAGCCCACCCTGAAGGAGCTGAGCCTGAGTAACAACACGCTGGGGGATACAGCTGTGAAGCAGCTGTGCCAGGGCCTGGTGGAGGCGAGCTGCAACCTGGAGTTACTACAGTAAGGACAAGTCGGTCATCTCCAACTGCAGCCAGTCTTGCCGCTGGTCGTACCGTCCCCAGGACAGGGCAAATTGTCAGGAGCGCTGGAAATCTAGGCCAGATTTTATGCTGGCTTGGGTTTATGTAACGGGAAACTGCAGGCAAGGGCCTGGGGCTTTCAGTTTTGGGGTGGTGGTGTTTTTTGTGAGCACATACCCCAGGTCACACCTGCAATTACAGAGGGTGACGGCTCACAAGGACCTCAGAGCGGAGGAGCAGTCGCCCTCGGTGGTTCCAGCTCTTACCCCTGGACTCTGTATATTGCTTCAGATCCCTTTTTCTTCAGTATAAAATAGAGATTTGGCCTTGTGTAGGGGGTGAAGCCCGTGAAGGAGTTTAGGGGAAAAGCACGACTCGTTTCAGCCTGCCTCTGTCCTTCAGCCGGGGTCGGCTGCCGGGGACTCGCCATGTGACGCAGCCGAAAGCTCCTCTAAAAAAAAGGGCAGTCGATACAAAGGGGAAGTTTGGCAAAAATCCTCGTGTTAATGGACGTGGGCGGGTGGGTCAGAGCGCTCTGTGTCGGCTCCGTGGCTAGCAACGCCCAGCTGAGCCACGCTGATTTTGCAGCAAGGAAACCAGGCTGAACTGGGGGTGTATCTAACACAGCAACTCCAGCTGTGCTTTTGGGTTTTGTTGTTCTTTTGTTTCTGTTTGGTTTTTTTTCCTATAGTCTGGAGAACTGTGGCATAACCAGCAATAGCTGTCGGGAGATCAGCGCTGTTCTCAGTAACAAGTCGTCGGTGCTCGACCTCTCTGTGGGGGATAACAAGATCGGGGACTTTGGTCTGGCTCTGCTCTGCCAAGGGCTGATGCATCCCAACTGCAAAATCCAGAAGCTATGGTAAGGGTCGGCAGATGTTACTTAAACCCCTCTTGCAGTGACTTCTCAAAAGTGGAGGGAGGACCCCACAAACGAGCAAGGTCGCACCAAAGCGTTGCAGAGAGGGTGAATGGAATCTGTGACAGCATCATCTTGGCTTCCTGGTATCCGTTTCCTAGAACCGCACATTGCTGTTCCTTTTTCATGTCGCAAGCAGAGCTTTTGGTGCAAGGGATGGAAAGCAAGGAGAAAGCCATGTGGCGCGATGCATGTGTTGTAAAAGACCGAAGAAAATGAGATGATGTAACCAGAAATTCAGAATACCAGAATAGGACTCGGTTTTCTAATCTAAGTGATTCTTGGGGGAAAGTAACGTTTTGTTCCTCCCTGCAGGTTGTGGGACTGCGATCTCACGAGCGCCAGCTGCAAAGATCTCTCCAGACTCATCAGTACGAAAGAGACCCTCCTGGAGATCAGTCTGATAGACAATAACCTGAGAGACTCTGGGATGGAAATGCTGTGCCAGGCGCTCAAGGACCCCAAGTCAAAACTCCAGGAGCTATGGTGAGCTGCCATCGAGTTTCACACCCTCACTGCCTTCCCTCAGAGACCTCACGGAGGAAGGGTGTAGGTGAAGTAAGTCCCACCAGGTGGATCGCCAGTTGCGATGGTGCCACAGACAACTTCTGGTTGTTACTGAAGGGATTTAGACTAAAGGAGTTCATGTTTCCAAACCTGTAGGCGCTGAAGATCTGGCTCGTAGTCATCCTGTTGTAAGCAACAGGAGACCAAGCATCGCTCGCAGAGCTTCTCTCTAGGGTATTTTATTGTGAACAAGTGGCAGCTGAGAAGCTCCTGAAGTGTCAGAGGCCTCGTGTAATAGCAAAACGAGTGCTGCGACAAGATATTGCAGGGTCTCCGCTGGATCCAGACTCTCTTATTGATGGCCCTAACGATACAAACCCTTCTCAGCACTCTCCCTGCCGACTGCGTCACCTTTTAGGCTGGGACAGTCTGGTGCGGGAGAGGAAGGTCGTTCTTTCGCACAGAACTGGCACGAGAAACACTTGAACTTTCCTACCTTGAGAGTTCAGCTCCTGCCTCCAGCTGGCTTCTCCCCACGCACGCTCTGAGACAGATAGTCCAGATATTGAAGAGGGGGATCAAGTGGGTGGAGGGTTCCTCTGTTCCCACTCACCAGGAACCTGGGACTCTCTAGATCCTCCACTGAGGTCTCAACGTTGCCTTTGCCTTGCAGGGTCAGGGAGTGCGGGCTCACAACCGCGTGCTGCAAGGCCGTCAGCTCCGCGCTCAGCTCCAACAAGCACTTGAAAGTGCTGCACATGGGTGAGAACAAGTTGGGAGACGCAGGCGTGGAGCTCGTGTGCGAAGGGCTGCTGCACCCCAACTGCAACATCCAGTCCCTGTGGTAAGGTGCATCCTCAGAAGTCGTCTTCTCTCTAAAGCAAAGTGTGGGGGAGGCTGGAGGGATCTTGCTTCGTTCTGCGAGCTGTAGAGCTCCCCATGCCCTTCTCTGAACTCACCCACGGGGCGTCTCTTGGGTGGAACCTTGAGATGGAGGAACTGCCAGTCCGGTTCCAGAGGCTCAGAGTGAGGGAGTGGAGCAGATGAGTCCTGGTAGGCATTGGTAAGGCTCGAAGTCTCTGCCCAGAAAGATGTGTTTGCTGACCAGCTAGAGCTACTTAGTTCTCAGCTGAGAGCTCAGCTGCCCTTTTTAGAGATACTGATGCAAGCCTCAAGTAATGCATGATCTATGAGGTGATTTACGACCAGTTTAAACCAATGCATGACATTGAAGTTGGGAATATCTTCCTAGGGTTCCTCCTCCCCCTGTAGCCACACACCATTAAGCTTTTTGAGGGCTTTTAGGTGTTCAGCAGCTGCCACGAGGACGGCTGTCTCTGTGGGAAGACCGTGGACCAGCACTTGCTGACATCTCGGAGATGCCAGCCGATGGGTTTCTGGTCCCTGCTAGGGATGTCATAGAACCACTGGGGTTGGAAAAGAGCACTAAGATTATCAAGTCCATCCATCAACCCGTGACCACTATATCGTGAAGTGCCACGTCTACACGTTTTCTAAACACCTCCAGGGACGGTGACTCCACCGCTTCCCTGGGCAGCCCGTTCCAGTGCCTCACCACTTTCAGTAAAGATGTTTTTTTCCCAACATCCAATCTAAACCTCCCTGGTGCCCGAGTGTGGGCTCATCTGTGGAGCCATCGCTCACCGCACCGGCCTCTCCATCCTTTCCCTCCTCTCCCCGCAGGCTGGGTAACTGTGATCTCACAGCCGCCAGCTGCGCGACCCTCGCCACCGCCATGACCACCAAGCAGTCCCTCACCGAGCTGGACCTGAGCTACAACTGCCTGGAAGACGAAGGCATCAGGAAGCTCTGCGAAGCCTTGAGGAACCCCAGCTGCAACGTGCAGCAGTTAATGTGAGCAACGTTCGTGGTCCCGCTTGCATCCCCCGGGGCGGGTGGTGAGCTCCAGCGAGCTGCGGGGTGGCAGGTCACACACCATCTGTGCCTTCCAAAACGCTCCTTGTCCGAGCGACGCGACCGCAGTGATGTGCTTTGGTCTGTAGAGCCCAAGAAGAAGGAGAGGGTGGTGCTGGGGAGGGAGTAGCAGGGTCTGATGTTGCGAAGCGTTTCTGGCTGTTGGGCCAGACCCTTGAAGCTGGGCAGGGGCTTCCCTGTTACGTGCTCTTCCCATACCAGCCCTTTGTGCATCTTTCCCTTTCCTTAATGGGAGGATGCTCACTAAACCAGCTCGCCTTTTCTCGTTTGGGTGCAGTTTGTACGACATCTACTGGAGTTCCGAAGTAGACGATGAACTGAGAGCCCTAGAGGAGTCCAAGCCTGAAGTGAAGATCATTTCATGAGCGGTGGGCTGCCTGCAGAGCAATGTCGGAGCAACATCCTCTTCTTAATCGGAACTTTTTTCGTACATAAAGCTAATTAACTTAATAGAGAATCTGCTTGTACCAAAAACCTTTGTGGATTCCCTGAGTGGGCATCTGGGGAGCTGATCAACCTTCTGTGCATCTCTGGATGTACTGACCCCGAGGCTCGTGAAAACGTTGTGCATTCTCACTGCAGCGTTGCTATCCTTGAAATAAATGATTCCTGGGCATCTTCTAGAAGTGGGTCTCTACCCTTTAGGAGCTCTTTAATCCTATAATCCCTTCTAACACGTTAGTCAGGCTTTAAGGAGAGCTCCTTCCCAAAGGCAGGAGGAAAACTACCAACCGCGTTACTGGTGCTTTTACCAGGTCTCTGGGGAAGATAATCCAGAAAAACAAAATATATATATTTTTAGTCTAAAACAGAGCTCTCCTCTGCCTTTCCCCTAGAGGAGTCCTTGGGAAAGCAGCGGTGGCTGTAGTGCTAGAGAAGAAAGAAACGAGCAGCCATTCAGCCACGTAACTTCGAAATCTGTGTCCCTTGAAAAGCGATTTTTTCTACAAACAAAATGACGGGAAATGGTTAAATGTTTGGTCTGGCAAGAGTGGTTCAACAGGAACTTTAATAAAGTCTGTTTGCAAATAACTAAATGCTTCATTTTTCTCCTTGCACAAAGAAAAATAAGATAGATCTGTGTATTTCTCCTTTAAGGCCAACCCATCATCCCTGAACTACACTACCACTTAGTTTACGTGTCTGCTTTTCGTAAGTTCCATGCTGAAGCATGTCAGGAGAAGATCTCAGTCAAGGCCTTAGGTGGACAGCAAGACTTGAAGATGTTCCCTCGGTTTCAGGGGACACCAACAAGCTTTGCTTACCCAGACAGAGTTTTAACAAACCTTGTTCCAAGGCAAAATGCACCCGTCGCACACCTAAACCACGAAAGAACGATTGCAGCTTTTAAGATGTAGAAGATGGTGACCTTGCAGGAGGATTGCTGAAACAATCCCGTTCTCCAACATCTCTCTTCCTAGAGGAGTCACTTGGGGTTTCATTCACTTGGGAGTCCCAAGTTAAAGGTCCCAAGGTAAAGGCTTTGGCTTGTGATGCCCGTGCGATCATCCGGTAGGGGCTACAACCACTTTGACGTAAGGAAAGCTTTGATCTCACCACCCAGGGGGGACAGCTCTCGGCTTGGTGCGTGGAGTCACA